GGTCCAAATGGTAGTTAAGTTTCTTCTTAAAGATCGATGGTAGAATCATAAGGATGATACTCTGAAAGAATATTTGCAATCTTTTTTTCAAAAACGCTTTAGAAATCTTGATATTGGCTAAGAATACGACTTGATATCTTCTCACCTTCAACAATGGACATAGCATATATAGCAAAAGATGGCCATTTATTTGCGGCATGCATAAAAGCCCTTGCACCTACCAATAAAGGTTTGGATATACCAGACTTATAGATTTCTACTTGCCCAGTAGGACCTTGAACTAAAATATGAGAAAAATCAAGATTGCAAAAAATCTAGTCTATTTGAAGGTTATGTCTTTTTAACCATGATAATCCTAAAATAATTAGATTAAAAGAAGATTTAATCACATTAAATATTACTAAACTATTGTGATTACTAGTTGCTACTTCTATAGGAATAGTTTCATATGTAACATTCTTAAAAGACAATGAATGTCCATCTATTACTTCTACATGTACAAGTTTGATTTCCTTAACTAAGGATATATCTTATTATTTAACAAATTCTTCATCTATAAAACAAGCTGAGGCTCTTGAATCCAACAAGGCTAAGACTTTGCGATTTTTTGGTTCTAAAAGGACTTCTATTGTAAAACAAGGTGAGGAATCAGAAGAGAGAATATGACCTTTGCTAGATGTTGCACATGATTTTAGCCGCATAACTCTTATTGTAACTGGTACAATTTATTTTCTGACACATTGTCTTCTTTGGCAATAGTGCTTCTCATTTTGTAATTGCGTTGTTTCTTTGGACAATATTGAGTAGCATGCTTAGCTTTTGCACAATATAAGCATAAGCTTTGTTGACGTTATTGACTCTTTTCCTGATCTATGAGGAGTTTAAAACATACCATATCAATTTGCATTGGTTCTAGCTTTGATAAATAAGTTTATGAAAACTTATGAGTTGCCATCATTATTTGATTTATTCCTCTCTAACCATATCTTTGTTCTTGATGTCTTTCAAATAATTGATTGTGATATGCAATGATTTGAGGAATAAATTATTCCAAAAATTTTGACTTTGATATAGTCAATAATAAGTCTTTGATATTATCCTTCAATTCATAATGAAAGTGATTGATAAGGACTTTGTCATTCCAATCTACATGGTAAGCAAGGTTTTGGAATTAACTAGCATATATGATGACTGATTGTAATCCTTGCTGTAAAGATAAGAGCTTAGTCTCTACTACTCTTTCTCAATCACTTTCTTTGAATGTGGCCATAAATACTTCTAGGATTGAATTCAAATCATAAAAGAGTCACAAATCTTTTTCCATTAAACGTAAAAACCAAAAGAGAGCACTTCTTGATAGAAGTGCACCAATGAATCTGACTTGAGTAAATCCATTGGGGTATTGAAAAGGTTGCAATCTTAGATAGAACTTGACTTGTTGCAAAAATCCTCAAAATTTTGATCTTGTTCCATCAAACTTCTCATGCATAGTAATCCTTGTCCCTATTATACTTGTAGAAGCAAAATTCTTTGGATTTGATTGTGAAGTCAATCTACTTGCTTCATTCAATTGTACAACTTCTAATAAAAATGTCTACAAAGAATTTCTACAAAGAGAGAACTTCTTCTATAGGTATTGGCATAGTACCTCCATAATTTATGTTAGAAATATGTGCAATTTCTACTCTTAGAGTATTGACGAGCTCATGAAGATCTGCAATAGTTGCAAATCTATTCTCACTTCTGCTAGGAGTAGCATCTATAATCTACAGTTGTCTATAGACAACTCAAACAAATCCAAAAAGTTAAATTAAATGAGGGTAATCTGCAATCTCTAATAAAAATTTCTACAAAGAGAGATAATCCACTTTCTTTAAAGAAAAGATCAATGTTAGAAAACAAGTTTTTTTGTTTAAAGTTAGGTAGTCTGCAATCTTCATAATACAAGAATAGAAGTGGGATAATCCACTCACTTCTAAAACAAGACAAAAATAATATGTTAACACTCTTTTCAAACTATCAACGATATGAATCTCGAAGAAAGAAAATCCTCAATACACTCTTATGACACTAGAAGGAACTAGAAAGGTGATATAATATTGAACTAGAATGGCTATTGCCAAAAACAAGAAGACTAGAAAGACTTGGAATAAGACTAAGGACTAGAAAGGCATTGACAAGAGTGAAGAAGGCTTCACTCATGTCTCTATATATACTCTTAACTGAGCAATACGTTGTCATGTTGTAACATGACTATATGGTGAAAGATGATAATATGGATCTTATTATAGAAGATCCAAGTTAAAAGAAAAAGTAGAAAAATATGGATAAAAGATAGGAAGGTAGTAAAACTTTTAATAGTAATGCTGCCTTTTAAAAAAAAATAGCTTCTACTTACTTTGTAGGGCCAAAAATAAGGCAAAATAAGGTAGATTGGAAAAATAAATGATATAGATATCTTTAGAAAAAAATTAAGAGTAAATTCTAATAAAAATTATTTAGAATAACTAGATGTTGATACCCGGAGAGGGCCGGTTATGAACCAAGATCGAAATCAGACCCTGAGGCACAAAATTGAGTCTCGATGATGTTTCTAGGACTCTTTGGTAGATCAGAGAGTGGTATTTGATAGCAAATTGGATAGGGTTTCTATGAGCATTGATTTTGGATGATTTGAATTTATTATGACTTTGTAAGAGCTTTGCAAAGTTAATGTTTGTTTTGGAAGACTTGGATTTTGATGAAATAAAATAGGATTTACATTTTGGGTGATTTAAAGAGTTCTGTAATAGTTCTATAAGTGAAATTTTGTGGATTCATGGTTGTAGTTATGTTTAATATGTGTTGTGAATTTGAGTTCGATCTAACGGTTGAATTGAGGATTATTGAGGTTTAAGTGAGTCAAGGTCTCAAAAAGTAGAATTTTAGGTCCACTGAGATTGTTTAAGATTTCTTGCAATCTACTAGTTGGATTGGAACAAAATAGGTATGTAAAGATATTTGACTTGTTTTTCTATGTGTATGATAAATTTGAAATCAATCAAACGGTAAAAAAGAGAGATATTGGCTCTTGAAGATTGGCATCAATGTTGGAGAAGGAGGCCAGCCAATACCCGAGCACATTTTTGAGATTATCGTCAATTTGGTAATTCCGATCCTTTTCAATTTTTTTGTGCTTGTTTTTAACTTATTTTTTAAGGAGTGTGTAAAATTTGAATTAAGATCAACGGTTTATTCATTAGTTATTGAGGTTTAAATCTGTTGTAGGAATTACTAGGGTTTGGTTAGGGATTGGTTTAGGATTTAAAGTTTGGTTAGGATTTGATTTAGGATTAGGGTTTGATTTAGGGTTTAGGATTTGGTTTAGGGTTTGATTTGGATTTGGTTTAGGGTTAGGATTTGATTTAGGTTTAGGATTTAGGGTTTGGATTAGGGTTTGGATTAGGATTTAGTTAGAATTTGATTAGGATTTGATTAGGGTTTGATTTAGGATTTAGGATTTTATTAGGATTTAATATTTAATTATTTTTGGCCTAAAGTTTGAATGAAGTTTAATAGGATTTTAACTAGAATTAAATTAAGATTGAATTGAGATGTATTTGAGTAATATTTGTGATCATTCTAATATTTCTTTAAGAATTCTTATTATTTGTTTGAAATTTCTTTGAGAATTTTTTGAAGCTTACTTAGCATTATTATGCTCTAATTAGATTTTAGTTAGTATTCTATTATAGTTAGGATTTTGTTGTTGCAATTTCCATTCTACCTTCCACAGCCAGGTGCTTGGAGCATTCTCAAGCAAGACTTCACATATTACGACAACGTGGCAATGTCCTATAGATCCTCTAAAACATGTTGACTTTGCAAAATACATATCTTAACTTACAAGGCAAGTTATCTATATATGCTCCTCATAATTAACTTATTCTACAAGCTACCAACACATAGTTAATTTGTTGGCCAAGTTTATAACCTACAAATACATAAAGTCAAAACTACATCTATAAAGCTTCTAAGAAGTTTCTCTAAAAGATTTTATGAAATTAATCTATATTTACCTATTTCTACCTAATTATATAAGTAACTATTAGAGTAAATGTATATGTCTATGACAATAGATTGTTTAAAATTATATATATATATATATATATATATATGTCATGAATTATTTTCTTTAAAAAGCTTTCAACTATTATTTTAAGTGTCTTTAAGATACTAATTTAAACACATTTGCATCCCTTTTTGGCTTCAAATTATAAACTTTTATCATATTGTTGGATATTTTTTTTTTTATTATTGATTTGTATAAAAAATAAAATACATTCAAAAAGGTTGTATAATCTCATTGTTCCAAATCAGTACATTTTTTATAACTTGCAATTTATTAGGTACTTTACTAAATAATTCATTATTTGAAGTATGAGGTCCACGTTATGAGAAGCAATATTTTTACATATATACTTTTATGAAGATGGTACAATCTCTATGTCCTTTTTATCGTTATTTTTATTCATTTATTTATTTTCATTTTGCCCATCTTTATATATATATATATTAGTTATCAATTTTTCTAAAAACTAGCAACAATGAAATTGAAAAAGAAAAAAGGAGGTAAATACAGAAATACTACAGTAAAGTATAACTTTATTCACATTTTTTAATAAAATAAATAAAATCGATTTAAAAAGACAGAATTATGTTACATTTATTGTACACAGAAGAAGAAAATATATTAATTCAATTTCCTACTACAAATAACATAATATACCGTTCTTGAACGACAATGCAGGAGATTATTTAAAAGTTGACCGAAAAGCATAAATTACACCTTTGTTAATTTATAAACAAAAGCAAGCTGGAAGTACTTGAACATTCTTTTGATGCCTCGTAACCAACGGGACCGACTCCTTTGGGTCAACCAAGTGGAGCACCCAAAGTGCTAATTCATACCCCAAATTCTTTAAAACAACAAAATAAATCAAATGCAAACTGAACCGAAATAACCGAGATCAATAAATTTGCAACCATTTAATTGTATCAACTGACAAAGGTTGTACCAAAGGTCTAACAGTTGCCACCGGCAACAGCGCAAGTCTAGATGAGCTTCAATTTCACTAACATCCATATTCCTTGAAGGATACTTAAGTATATTATGAACATTGAAAACTATCTCAATTCACAGTTTGAAGTAAGTTGGTGGATCCCGCTGTAACATTGTATGCCGACGTGGCTAAATGAAAAAAAAATCTATAAAAAGTAAGAATGTTTCAGTATACAGTTTTACACGGGCTGATAGGAGGAACAGCAAGAGCAGTCGGCAAGAGCCCAATTGCTGCTCTTCGAAGGTGCAAATGAAAGCGAACCAGTTAAATAAGCCAAATTCGTGATACAAACCCATCTTTCCATGCTTTTGCCCACACCTTATTTACCTTCTGAGTGTGATCTCACCATTTCCAATGACCGAAGAAGCGTCCGAGTTACATGCACGCTTCTGTGTGTCTATCGAGCACGTTATGCCATCCGGTTAGCACCTGGAACTTGGAAAGCGATTCAGTTTCCACTGTGATCTTCACTTTCAATCAAAGCGTTCTAGAGACAGAGCCCACTTGCTTATCAAGTTGGAATACTGACACAAACCTGAACAAAAACTTATGTGGAGACCAAAAAAACACTCCAAAATGCGATGAGGGGGCAGGGGTGATATGTTTCTAAAGTGCCATTTCAGCTTGAAGGGCTGCAAGTTCATCTTCCTCAGTGTTTGTCGTAGGAGGACTCTTTGTAGGAACTGAAGTAGGCTTGTATGTTTGAGCCTGGGGAAGCTGGTGAGTAGACGGCTGAATGAGCTGTTCTTCCAAGTCAGCCCCTTCGAGGTCCTCAAGCTCAGCTTCCAGCTCGTCCTGCAATACATTTGCCACAAAGGAGAGGGTTGACGCGCATGTCAGATAATGTAGTCTACAAATGCCTATCCACAACATCTTATGCAACAAAACCCTTTAAATCCTTCATATGAAATAGTCCAAAAATTGTGGTGATTATTCTAGTGAACCGAACGGTTTTAAAACTACCGGCAATTTGCACCAAGCACCAAACATATTCTCAAGAACAAGTAATTTCCCCCATCTACTTATCATTCTGCTGAGAGTCGTCCCTTCAAATATATCATCACAAAGTACGAAAAGATAAAAGAAAAGAACACAATATTCGGATTTCAAATTTCACCTCATCAATATCAGCTGCTGTTCCAATTGGTGTTGAGAGTGCCTCTTGGATCTGCTTCATGTTCTCAGTCTGCTCGTTGATCTCGTCCATCGTCTTGTCTACGTCATCAATATTGCTGCAAACCACATTATTATCATATTTTAGAGTTAACAGCTCACACATGACCTTCTGATGACTAACGTCACGTTAGTCCATATCCTACTAAATAAATGTATTGTCCCTAGCTCTAGGAAGCAAAGCTGGTGCATTATAACGGATTCTGCAATTAATACTAATACAAAACGCTTCCATAACCTTTGAGACATAATCAGCACGCTAACACAACAAAAATAAAGATCGGTGCGTTCCATGTTCTCCTGTAGTAGAACAGTGAATCGATATAAACACTGAGCCAGAGATTCGTCAAGAGGAAAGGGCAGGTACAGTACGTGGCTTTCTGGATGGCTTTCATGGCTGCAGCACCGCTGCGCAGAGCATCCACGGTTTCTGTCGTTGCCTTAGCACCCTCCAGCATAATCATCTGTAGGAGAAAAGAACAACACGACACGTGACGGTGAAACCAGAGGTACACACGAATCGACCAGAAGCTTGATTAGGTCAAAAGACACAGGAATGATCGAGTGCACACGAGCGGAAATCGGCAAAATTCTAGGAGTTCATCCCATTCTCAACAACCGAACCTGGACTTGAATCATGTAATGTAATCAGGAAGAGTGAACTCTCGGACCTGGTCATGGATACGCAATTGGAAGTTGCCCAGTTGTTCTACTTGGACTTCATACAATCTCTTCCGTTTCAAACACTGAATCGCAGCTGCCAGATCAAACAGTCACTCACACCAGCACTCATCATCAACCCTAAACATCCCAACCTCCTACTCTTTAGCGGGAGCCAGCCCTAAATGCATCACATCCCTCTTGCCACAAACAGAACGGCCACCAACCGCAGCGCTCACCTCTCTTATTCTTCAACCTGGTGAATTCCTTAGCCTTTTCTATCTCCATGGCTATTTTCTTCTGCAACACCTTTTCCTTCTTCTCCAACATCTCCAAGGTCTGTCTCCACCCATCAAACCCATAGTGCACATCCAAATTATTCCTAAATCAACTCGAACTCTAATCACAACACCCAATCAAAAAACACAAACCCAGTTCTCAATCCGAATCGAATCCACGATAACCGCACCTCATTAAGCTTGTCGAGTGTGGACAGGGTAGAGGGCTCCTGCTTGGGCTTCCCGAACAGCCTTGAAAACATGGTGAAATTGTGTGAGTGCACTGCAATCTACTGAATGAATCAATAAATCAATCCGATGGGCACCTGCGCCTGCTGCTTGAATCAATCAATCAATCCTTGCCCCACTAAAGTGCTGCGATTACTATAATCGAAGTCTCTCTCTCACTCATGTAGATCACGGTACCGACTAAACACACGCAACGCTGCTTTGCGAGACTGGGATTCGGCAACACGCTTCTTCCACCGTCGCTGCCTCTGCAATTGCAGCCCGGTCCCCTCAAAAAAACACACACACTCTCGTACACACACAAATGGCGTCGCCCAAAAGGAAAGGAACAAGTCAAAATAATAAAAAACAAAAGTTCTCCAAAACGTAAAAGGATGTGGAAAAGTGTAGCTATTTGGGGGGGGGGGTGTTGAGCTGGTTGATTAATGGCATTGTTTCTTTGGACGTGATTTTCCATTGAAAATTTTACAATTTTTAATTTGACTCGTAATTTGACTCTTTCTTTGTAGTTTATTTTTATTTTTATTTTTTATACGATTTATTGTTTCTAGGAATAATTTATTGAAAACAGTTATTTGAAAGTAAGTTATCTTTTGTTGTTGACATTGAATTCAGAGGATATGATTGTGTGTATTTAGACACAATTGTTTGTTTGGAATGCTTTCTTGAGATACTTTGATTTACTCTTGAAAAAAAATTAATTAAATATTTATTTTCAAACATGAATATTAAAAATAACTATGGATTTATTTAGATTTAAAATGTTTTTAGTTTTGCAAAGTTTAAACAAGTTTTTTATTTTTATTTTTATTTTTATAAATTTTATTAATTATGTGTTTTTATTTTTAGTTTTTTGAACCAACATCTTGACAACTTAATCATAAATCTTTTTTGTCTTTTGTGAATAGCATCTATTCACTCATTAGTAATTTGTTCTATTTTAAAACCATTTTAAGATTTTTTTTTATTAGAATTCCAATCAATTTATTAAAGACAATAACAAAGTTGTTTTATTGCTATACTACATTGCAACTTAATCTCTAAAGATGTGGTTTTTGAACTTCATCTGAATAAGATAGTAATGATATGTTTGGATAACTTAAAAATAAATAAATAAATAAATAAAATCACATTTCAAATATTTTATTGTATTTCATAAGACATTCCAAATCCAATTCATAAAATATCACATCAATTTATTTTAGATTATTACATTATTAAATTCATAAATCATCTTGTATTTATTTTGCATAACATTGATAGATATGCTTACAAAAACATTAAACACTTAAACATATTTTCAAAGCAATATGATTTTTTAAAAAATTAATTCATTATGTTACATATTTTTATGACATATCTATATTTATATAATTTTAAAATATAAAAATAAATAAAATAAATAAAATTTAATGTGTAAATATTATTATATATATTCACATATACAAATAGTCTATTTTAATTTATTAAGTATATTATAAGTGACATTCTAATACAAAACAACTTTTAATATATATTTAATTATTTTAAACTACATAAGAATGAGAAGTTGGTATAATAAGTTGAATAGTTCAAATTTTAGTTATAAAATTTTAAAAACGTGCTTGTTAAATGCTAACATAAAAACAATGAATATTTGATATTTATATATAATTCAATCAAACTCAATGTTCATCCTTGTGAACCCACAATATTCAAACAAACCTCACAACTAGATCTCTAAACACTTCAAAGACCCAATTACTCAAATACTTCAATTCTTGTCTTCTTAAAAGCATATCACATTCAAAACCCAAAACATAGACAAACCATGTTCCAAAAACACACAACATAGCTAGTCCACCACTAAACTATCCAAGTTAAAATACCAAAGAATAACAAGTTGGTGCAAAGAAGTTTACAATATAAATTCCAATTATGAAATCTCTAACCTTACTACATGAGGATACCAGCACTAAAATTAACCACCACTCAAATGTTTCAAACGTAAAAACACACACAACAAGATGAAGACGATGATCTACGGCAACACAACACAGTGAAGAAGACGAAGACGACGACGACGCTGAAATAAGCAGCAGCAGCAGGAGCACCCAGTGTAGCCAGCATCATCCTCATCGCAATCTAGATAGATAGATAGATAGATCTGCATTACTGCTCACCATGTGGGGACCATGCTCGGTGACCACCGCGGCTGAGCTCTCTCGGACGGCGGGTTGGGCTGTAGAGGTCGAAGCTAGAACGTTGAACCCCCTCGTGCTAGCTAGAATGTTGAGAGCTTGTTTCCCTTTCGCGTGATTCCCGTTGAAGTGAAGTGGAACTGTTCGCATTGGAAACCGTGGGCCGGAGTGGGTTCGAATAAAGACATGGGAACCAAAAAAACGTTGGTGTGATTCCTTACCCTTGGAGTTGTGTGAAAAGTGCCTATAATTATTGTGAATGGTTCGTTAAGTGTTACGGAATCCTGCTGGAAGAAGAACAAAGGGTGAAGGTACGTGAAGTTCATACTCAGAGCACATGGACGTTGGTGGATTTGCGTAATGTTTGCAACTGTTTTTAATGAAAAAAATTGTAATTAATATGGTTTCGCAAAACCTTGAAACAGTCCAACAGGTGCCTCGCGGCGAACAGATATGCATGAAAATAGTAGCGCGGTTTCTCATCCGCCTTGGTCCATCCAGCACAAGCATCGAAAGGTGCAGTGCCATATCGATAATTCTCGTGACTTGGGGTAGTCCATCTTCAAATCAGTCAACCCGGGATTGTCCGAAGACTCTCCCCGTATCACCTGATTCATTTCGTCGGTGTTGCTCCAAGGAACGTTCAGGACACACTCAAGTTGTCAGAGAGTACCTTTTTTTCTTCTTTTGGCATCTTTGTTGGAGGAGTTTAGCAGGACGACGCGCAAGCACGTTGCGGATTCAGCCATTACGAGTCAGCAACCTGTTATCAGCGCTGGGAAATCCTAACTCACCGACAACAGCCCTACTAGCACGCGGCAACTTGTAGAGCAGGGCCTTTTGCCTCTTCCGCTCCAGATGTTGGCAGGAAGACGACACAGGTTCTGGTTCTGCAGATCATAAATTCTAAATGCGGGGACCGTGGAGTCTTTCCCAGGCGGTCAATTCTTTCGGCTCTAGACAGGACCAGTGGAAGAAGCTTGCACAGGTATGAGGATGATGAGAACTCAGCGCTACACAATCTGTCTAGAGGAAACAGAGGCTTTAACGCGAGAACTTAGTGGGGCAGGAGTGGATTCTGTGGCTTCGTGGCGCGTGTCTACAATTGTTTTCGGGTTAGGGAGCGATTTCAATTGCTAATCTGTTCTTATATTTTGTGCTCGTGATGTACGCACATGAAGTCACTCCATCCTAGCGAGAGCTGCATGAGAATAAATCGGTATTCAGTGGTGATTACTCCGAAATTGTTTGCAGGGGCGTGGTGTGCGTGATTTTGGGCGTGTTCTGTTTTGGTGGGTTTTTGGTTTAGAGTGGAAGTTAACCCTCAAGAATTCGGCAAACAAACTTGTGAGTGGTGGGCTAGATGCTGAAATTTGGCTTGGAAGCCTCTGAAACCTTGGAATCAAAGAATTACTTAGTGACAGAAACTGGGCGGAGTGTGTGTTGCTGGTGTGCCTACTCATAAATTCGAGAATAATTAGAACTAGATTTATTAAAATTCCTTTGGAATTTAAGTTCTCGTGCCCATTGGTTCGGACAAGTGAGATGGAGCTCGGGTCGGTAGTATCCAAGTCTCAGGAGGTACACTAATCTAAATTTGTTGCAATGGCGGTTCGTGGTGCTGCAGCAGGAACATATTCCTCGAATCCCAGTGTTCCGGTCCTGTGTTGCAGTCCAGTTTGAAAAGACATCTGCTGCAATCTGGTCTCGTACATTGAATTCTACAACATCTATTAACTTCGACACCAAGAGTTTAAGACTCTAGTCGGTCATTGTGAAGAATGTAATTGTTATATTCAACAAAGACTTCTGTACTATGTTAGATTTTCATACTTCTACAACCTCTCAATCATGTTGATTTATTTTGTTCCAGCATTTTTATATTTTTACAATGCGCCATAGTTTCAAAGGTACCCCCATCTTCATGTACAAGCACCTGCACTGCTGCAGGACTCGATCTTCCCGGTCTTGGAGGGGATAAGCTATAGCTGAACTAAGGAGGATTTCAAGCGCCTGAGAGATGGATTACAAGCCTTCGAAACCAGGAATACGGTCCACCCCGATGAGTAGTAAAGATCCACCCAGAACCATAGCAGGGGGTTCGAAGAGCGGCAGAGTTGCAGCAACACCGCTGGAGAGACTCGGGAAAGATTACGCAGATAGCACTGGGGTTGCGTTGAAACGTAGTTGTGATCAAATGAAGAGTACAGGAACGGAGCCACCGAAGACAAGTAAAGAGTACATAAAATCAAAGTCTCTGGTGCCAATTCCTCATCTAAAAGCCAAGGTCAGTGCAGACAGGAACCCATCAACTGAGAACGTAGGTAGAACTCAAGCAACCGGTGAGAAAGTGCGACCTAAATCGAAACACGATGTAGAAAGGGATAGTCTCAAGAGAACCCAAGACGTAAAGACGCAGCACAAGATCAAAGATGCCAGAGAGAAGCGCACATATAACGAGGGCTTCCAAAAGATTCAAGTCTTAGGTATCGAAGACACAAAGATGAGGAATGAAAAACCAAGAGAGCCATTAAAGCCTAAGACTGTTGAACGACACAGTGATGGAACGAGAGTTTTGACGGGATTTGAAAGCGAGAAGACCGTGAAGAAGGATAGTGCAAGTGGCAAGGTGTGGTCGGAAGGGAAGACTGCGGTGAGGCCAGCACAATTGGAAGACACAAAGAAAAACAAGGTCTCAAGTAACAGGAAGCGACCTGCGGAAAGTGGCAAAGATGTGCAAATGAGGACTGCCACAAAGATTGCAGAGCCGGTAAACGCTATGAGCACTTCAAACCTTTGTACCGCCCAATCGTCTGAAATTTTGCAAATTGATAGGCTAGAAATGCGGCTTAAGAATTCAACGTCAGAGCTGATTTTTTGGATCAAGATGAAGATTAAAAAAAGCTTCTTTATGGTGTTGTGCACTTGCTGTGACATAGGTAAGAATTCATGCTGCAAAAGCTCCGAAGGCTGTCAAGTTGGTTACCACATCCGCCATCAAAAAAAAGCAGGAGAAACACATGAAGAAAGCATTCTCTCTACCGGGTCAAAGATTTGAAACCCCGGAGGAGGTAAGAGTCTCATGTTTTGTAGAACATAGGATTCAGTTAAAATCTCAATTCAGAACTTGTATATTCACATGATTTGAGACCAACTTCGGAAGGTTTCTGAGTAGTATGCTAACAGTCTCATGGCGTGATTTGCTACTGGTTGTTGCAATACCAGAGAGACGCATTGAGATTGTTTTATGAATCGCTCCACAGGCAGATACCCACAAGTGACATGGCTAATATCTGGTATGAAAACACTGCCCTTAACATGCTTGAAACATGCTGTTTCCAATCGTCTTCGTCGTTGATTTCTTAATGCATTTTGATTTCTCTTGAGCTAAAATTCAGTGTAGGAATGTGGTGTGGCAGGTTGATGGAACACGGGCTACTCGAAGCGGATGAAGCTCAGAAGGTCTTGACCCACAAGCTGAAATCCAAAGGCAGTTTGCCGCACAAAGCCTCACTGCAACAAGCACCAACACAGTCAAGATTTTCCAATGGAAATGCTGGGAAGATAGCAAAGTTTAGGAATGAGGATTTTCTCAACATAAAGCCAGTCTCAAAGAAGCTCAAGCTTTGAGCAACTACATCTTGTTGTTCAGGTTGGTGATTTGTGTTGTTGCAGGATGCATGCAGCTTTGTATGGTATTCTTACTACAAGATGCTGGTGATAGTTTGGCAATTGAGCATTGAGCCCTTTTCCACTTGATTCATGTTGCAAAAACTATTTTATGAGCGTTATAATTAATATAACATTATATGTCAATTTGTGTTGTGCAAAGTTAATATTTGAAATTTTCATAAATATGAAGTATTTTTTTTACATATATAAAATAAATAGTGCTTCTATTAGACATGTATGGTGTTTTTTTTCATTAGTTTGCTTAGTTAAATGGCATCTATAACATTACAAATTATCTCCATATTCTTTGTCTTTATATTTTGCAATTCTAAAAAATAGAGTTGTATATAGATTATTTTTGTTATTAAATTTTCTAAATATAATTTCAATAGATTTGCATTTACTTGTGATAATGATGTGTTTTGTACTAGCTTTCTACTATAAAATTTATTTATTTATTTTTTAATCATTTCTTAAGTATTTTTTATAATTTTAAAGTTTTATTATGAAAATGTATTCTCTATGAACAACTCAAAATCTTCTTTGTGATTTTTTTATTTATTTGTAATTTTAGTTATATAACCTTAAAATTTTAATACTACAGAGATATATATATATATATATATATATATAATTTTTCCACCAATCATTAAAAAGAGATGCTTCTTATACTACTTTCTAAATAGTTGATACTCTTTCATATAATGATTTTTTTAGTTTGTTAACTTTCAAAATTAATGTTTTTTTTAGTTTATTATAGATTAATTTTATTTATTTATTTTTATACAAATACAAATAAATTAAATTCTTTAACTTTATAAAAGTTATTATTATTATTCTTTGGTCTCAATCACCTTAATATATTTTTAAAATAATCAAGATATGTCTACTATTACATTAATTCTTATATATATATATCTATATATATATATATATATATATATACTTTAAAATTCTAATTGGTCTTCTAATATTTTATTAAAAATAAAAATTAATTCTTAATAAAAACTTTATTCATTAAAAAATTAATACACATGCTTTGATGTTTTTATGATAACCAAGAAACACATATGTTGTGTCCTTTTTTTACAAGCTTGTCTCTTATGTAATGAGGGTTTTTTTTTTTTTTTTTTTTTTTTTAATACCTAATGAAACTAAAATCTTACATATGCAAATAATTTTTTTTTTACCACTCTTTATTATTTTAAAAATCATGTATTTTAAAAAATGATTATGTATATATAGTATGTGAATATGCAATATTAAGTATTATTTGTATCTAAATTTTATATTTATAGTAACTACTATGTAATTGAAAATTTTTCAAATTTATATGACTACTAATTATATTAACTTAGAGTAATGTTGAATAAATCCATGATTTTACTAAATTAACCCATCCATCTTGACCATTATGAAAAAATAAAAATAAAAATAAATAATCTAGATTCATTTCTCCAATATTGGATCTGCAACCAATGAAAATCAATCACATTCATTATGATTATCATGTTCTTTATCATGGGTGGGTTGATTTAGTCAAAACTTAGATCTATTTAACATTCCTCTTAATATATTATAATATATGCCAATTATTTTACACTTCTAAATATTAAAAAATCATTAAATTTATCAAACATAAAAGTTATCTTTATTATCAAACTTTGGTATTCTCATTTTTTGCTACTTTTATTGTTTGCAAAGATAGTAAATAAAAGTTACAATGTATTGAATTATATTTACATAACCTGTTTTAGAAGCTTAAGTGATTACAAGTAACACATATTTTAACTACTTTTGAGTATCAAATCATTTCAGTATCAATTAAAGGTGAGATGATTAGATCTAAAATTATTTTACTATTTAGTATTTTGACTCCAAAATTTTGACTCCAAATTAAAGTTAAATAAATGTTACTAAGAAGTACTTCAAACTCCATTTTTGCAACTATGGTTTGAGAAATAGCATGAAAATAAGGTTCTCATATATTTAAACTTAAAATAAATAGGTGTACTTATATCATTCTATACATATTAATTATTAATGATTATTAAACTATCATCAAACTTTCCATCTTAAATTTATAGAACATACGTATCTTATTAATTTAAAAATACTAAGTTTTATCATGTCACCTGAAATGAAAGCTGAAGTAAAAAAGTTCTAATTCAAACTAAAAATACAATAAAAAAATCATAATATTACATATCTCTTAAATTACACATACGTTCATCATTGTGTAAGTGAGTGTGGAACGACTAATGAAATACTTTCAACATATCAATCCAGACAAAAAAAAATTATTTTCTTAACAAGTAAAGGCTTTTGTACTTATTAATATGAGTCAACCTATATTTTAAAATCATCCCAAAACTAGGAAAATTAAAGTGTTGATATAAATGCCATTAAATATATGCTTACAATCATTAAATTTAAAATACAACTTATAATGGAGTTCATGATATCACTTTAAAAATAAAAATATAATATAAAATATATATGCATATTTATTGTTAAAAGAAAAATAGAAATAGAAACTGAAAAGTAAAAAAAACTATACAATAATCCTACTTATTTTGTTGTCGGTAGAACGGGTTAAAATCCTGAAATATCAAGCATGTCCAAGTTTCACACTGAATGAGATGAATGTGGATATTCATCCAAATTCGCAGCAACTGAAATATTATCATTCATCTACGCGCTTCGCGGTGGCCACGATACCGACAAGCCAGTATTTCGACGAGACCGTGCGACGCGGATCGCTTTGTGGTCTCCTCAGGTGCAGTGAAACTCCAATTTGATCTGCGGCGCCGAGGCCACAGAACTCAACCATGTCTACATCTCTAATCTCGGCGTCGTCAGACGCGCATCTGGTGATCGCTTTCACAGAAGCAATTTCAACAGTTGCGCTGATCTCACTTCCTTCCCATACTATGCAAAGGTTCGATCAGACTTGAAACCGCTTAAAGTTGTGAGAATCAACCGTGAGAACTTCATTACACTCGCTTCATTGGTTGTCTGCAGCTGCACCATTTTCTCAAGGAATAGCTCCAGTAAGCGAAGTGCTGGACTTCCACCTAGAACCTGACCTGAGTCTGCAGTCAACTTTTTGGACCAGTTGATAACAGATTCCTGCAGTTGGGTGGAAGTGATCGGGGTTCGCATTAGTCGAGAACCTGAGCCGTGGATATGAAAGCCCAGGAAAGTGGACGTCGTGAATCGTTTAGATTGAGGGTAGTCCAGCTTTGTGTAATCGTCGGTTGGAAGGCGAAACCAGTTCATCGATGAGTAATGGGTCAATGACAATCCAACTCTCTTGGGTTTTCCTTCCCTGGAAGACAACACCTCATGTATGCCTGGTGACTTTCATGAGGTGCACTTGCCTTGCGCTGCGTTAACTTATTCTCTGTTGTTTTCGTTTCTACACCTTCTTTTTCCAGATTCTCCAGGCTGGTGATTTGTAGTCGCTACTGCTTGCCATGGGTTGCCCACCTAGCGAAAGACTCCTTCCAGAGTGTTCCAGTGTGCTTTTCGAATCGGTCCAAATTAAAAAATGCTTGTGATTGCTGGGACAAGGTTTTCGTGGTCTCTGCTGGTGGCTGGCGTTGTCTTCTAACAGGGTTGTTTCTCATCTACAGACCCATTAAATAATGTATCTGAGACTAACATCTTGCTTCGGCTTTGTGGATAAAGACGTAAAGAATACACGTGCTTCAATAGTCCATGTGGATGTGATGTAGCAGCTAAAAATTCTGTAGTGTGCAAAAGTGGAAAGAGTACATACACTGTAATTCAAGAGAATAGAAGATTGTAACCAATCTTTCTTATGTACAGACAAATATTTTTTAGAACATAATGAACTTTAATGAAATGTTCAAGAACCACAAATGCGACTTCTTGTCTTGAAAAATTGTCGATGATGGACAACAGTCTGACATGACAAGGCTCACATCTAAACAACTACAACAACAGACAACTAATGCATGCAAATAAAATACCACGATATGAGAAATGGATACGAAAAAGCATTGGAGTTCAATACACTTAATTGAAAGAAATGTGCAGTGCGTACAGAGAGGGAAAAACAAAACCGTCACGAAGGATTGGTTCAGTGAAAATTAAACAGCTGCCCCCAGATGTCTTATTGAAAGCTGGTAACAAACAAGATAAAACGTTTGTGGTGTCAACATAATACCACATTCACAAGAAAAAGAAAACTCTAAAAGAATCTATTCACAGCCAGAGGTTCGGCAGTGGGGCAACTCATTCGAACTGGGTGCAGTCGTAGCCGCAGGGCTCCATTATCCTTTTTGAAGCTCACCACCTCAAGATATCAACTAAATGGTAGATATCAATAAATGGCTGTTGCTAATTATTCAAACCCACTTCGAAGTCCCAACCCCCCGTATGTGTGGGAATTGAAAGTGTTAGACGCAGGCGATGAACAGTCTTCGATTGCCCTGACTAATAACAACCCTCCCTGATCTGTTAAACCCCTAATGGCTAGAACACCACCATCGACTGCTGCTAATCCAAATTCGTCGAAGTGAAGTAGTTACAGCAACTGATCATCCATTCCATCCGCCTTTGCCGCGTTTTTGGCAGCTTGGGTATCCTCACACACCTGGTATCAGTACTGAACTTGACAAAGAAAATAACTTACTTGGGGGAACAAGTACCAGAATCATCCGAAAAGTAACCTTCACTACACTGGCATTTGTATCCAACGGCAGCACTGTCGTCCCAGCTACACGTAGAGTTGTGGTCGCCTAGAGTCTTGCAAGTCTTGGACATCCCACATCCATAGTCGCTACAGCGCGTCAAGGTGCAGATAAACGGAAGCTGGATATCACATCTCAAGTCGTTGAGCATGAAAGGAAGATAGCTGTTGTCATAAGCCTGGGCATCGGATTCGTACTTAACTCCAAGGCAGGCCTCTTGACCTCCGTAGTTGTTAGGCTCTCCCATGTTCCACAGAGACGGGACATCAATGCAAGGAGAACCTGGATAGTTCCATCCATTCGTCGCAGGTGAGAGATTGCAAGGTCTCCTTCCACCTACGTAGCAACCAAGTCCCTTAGGATCGCTCGAGTCACCCTGAACTGTTACGTTTGATTGTGCGCAGAGCTCGCCAACATCCTTCAGCTCGTCCCAGTCAGCCACGGCAGCCAAGTGACCGCCCGATTGCTGGTTGCAGTAATGTTCGGCGTACTCCCAGGTCTTGCAATGCGTGACAAGCATGAAACAAGTGCCCGAATACTTGCCGGGTTGGTAACCATAGGGGCATGGAGGTGGAGGAGGAGGGGAAGGTGGTGGGGGAGAAGGAGGAGGAGGGGAAGGTGGTGGGGGAGAAGGAGGAGGAGGGGAAGGTGGTGGGGGGGATGGAGGAGGAGGAGGTGGACTCCACCCGTAAAACCTTGCGCATGTATCCTTATCCTTCTGATCAGGAATTTTATCGGCAAAAAGGCAATTTCCAGTGACATTCAACACCGTTTGATTAATCTGTTTACATGCAGACGCAAGACTATTAAAGTAGTTGTCGCTGAGAGCTAGAGCCGACAAATTTTTCAGCTGACAGATCTCGGCAGTCACTGCTCCGCCCATATAGTTCTTGCTCATGTTGAATATTTCGAGAGCCTGCAAATTTTGAAGGCTATCTGGCAACCCTCCGTTGATTTTGTTGGAACTGTAGTCGAAGAGCAGGAGATTTTTCAAATTACCAATACCGTCAGGAATTCCACCATCGAATTCGTTGCCCAAAGCCAGAATCTCGTACAGGGTGTTGCTCATATTATTAATGGTCTTAGGAATGTTTCCTTGAAACTTGTTGTTGGCAAGCACAAGGGCAGCGACTTCGGACTGAGCGAAGTTGCTCGGCATAGTACCTTCAAAATTGTTGTTGTTCACAAAGATCACTTGTAAAGTACGCTTTGAGAACAGCTCACTCGGCAGCTTGCCATAGAACGTGTTAAAGCGGAGATCCAAGAAAGCCAACTTGGGGATGGCCAAGACGACTTTCGGAAAGTCCCCGCCCAACTGGTTGTTGCTAAGATCCAGTTCAGTCAACAACTTCATGTATCGGAATGAATCTGGCACTCCTCCATAGAATCGATTGCTATTCAAGTGGAACAGAGCAATCTCTCGAAGTTCGCCCAACTGCGGCACCAAAGTACCCTTCAGTTGCGCACCGTTCAAATCGATTGCGGCTACAACCGTGAGGTAAGAGTACTTGGGATCAGGTGGAGGAGCACAATATACTCCTTTGTAACTGCAGACATCCTTCCCATTCCAACTCGCAAGGATATTGTTGGGATCTTCGGTGATAGCCTTCTTCCAGCATTGCAGAGCGATGTAGGCTCTCCACTTGCTCCATGCATATCCATGACGTCCAGTTCCTTGAGGATGACCGCCGTGCCCCGGAGGATGGTTTCCAGTCGTTCGGTTTCCGAAGAAAGGGTCTGCTTGACGACAAAAATCTCGTATTAGTGCTTCTGATTGGGACGAACCGGGTTCAAAGTAACCATGTCCCATGTCATAGAAACATATGCACCATCACGAGGTCTTTCAGCTGAGGTATCTAACATCTTCATGTGTAACATGAAATAAAAAAACAAAAGGTCAATTTAACATCAGAATTTGAAGAAAAGAACAAAAGATCCTTGTTGACTGTTTCCCATATTGTAAATTACTAAATCTATATACATAATAATTAGCGTTTGACTCGCAAGATATGGTTTCCATGACCTAGTTGATTCTGTGAGGGCCTAAACACTAAACTTTTGACGAAGCTAATGACCAGTTCTTTGGAAAACTTCAAAACACAGGAGAGATGAGGAAGTGGCGTACGTGAAGGAGCAGGCGAGGTTGCAGGTGCACTAGTAGCTGCTGCTTGCACCATGAACAGAGAGACCAAGAGAGCCGTAACCACCATGGTAGTGGCAGTCGCTTCCATCCCCTGCAGATGAAAGCGGGTCATTGGACCTGCTTTTATCGGAGACAGGTACCGTGGTTCCAGTCTCGAAGACACCCACCACGGCCACCGAAAGAAGCACCAAGCTTGACTTAGCTCATCAGTCTGAATTACGCCAGTCTAAACTAAAACTTCCCTGTTTGCAGGTTCTCACTGTAACTACTGAACTGTCTGTACCGCAACGCACAACCAATTGAACCCCCTCTCACCACGGCACCAGTCCCAGCTGATTCAACACCAGGTGCGCTGCACCAATCGGTGTGCGCGCAATTGCCCCTTCAACTGCCTAATTCTGAGAACACCACATCGGTAATACCAAGTCTTAGCACCAACATCATCCACCCTGACTCAGGATTATTGTAACGTGATTTATGAACCACACGAACCCCTACACTCACAACTTCAACGAAATTAAGTACCACTATCCACACTCCAAGCATGAGGAGAGGTGCAGCTCCTGGCTGCACAGTGAAAATCTAAGGCCCAGTGCTGTGTACCTGAGACAGAAAGAGTCGAAGAAGAGAAAAGGGAAGGTAGCCTCAGAGCTGCTGCTCCCAAAGAGGACTGTGACTCGTACCGAGTCTGTTTGCTGGTCTGAGGGGGAGAGCATGGGGTATTAGCAACGCGAGTGCGCCCCCCAGCCGCCCCGAGCTGACAACTTTGGACATAAGAGTGAGCTGGTTGCGTGATGCCGGCGCAAACGAAGGGCTAGGAATTCCAGGATTCGCATCACTGTAGAAAAGCTCTTACGCTGTAGCCCCTATCCTACCTGCAGTTCCAGTACGTGGGCTGAGCGGGCCCAGCACCCCTACCCTCTGCGCGGGTTGTTTGCAGTCGTTGCGGTGCTCGGAATGAGTGCATATTTTAGTACAATCCGACAAGACCCTTTGTTTTCAATGATCAAGCTGTAGCCTGCTGCTTTAACTGGGTCATAGTCTTAGATCTCGATGCATCAAACAATAGGTTTGTAATTTCGTGTTGTATTTCGCCTCGTTTTCGACTTACAACCAGCAATCAGGGATTCAAGCCCAAACAGCTTCGCAGTGACCATCAGATTCCTCCAGTGGAGCGTTGAGATGAGTCTCAGGGGAAAATCGTAAACAATTCTCGTGGATCGTCGTGGGTGGCCAGCGCAAGAGCACAGACGCACAGCCCTGCAATCCCGTCCGCGATCTATTCAACTGGGTTTTCCACTTTATCTTGAACAACAGTTGATCGTTTGTTTGCGAGACGACGCGCAGTAAGAATCCTTCTCCCTTTTCTGTTCATACACAGAAAAGTGGAGAACTCACCGCCGTGGGAGACCCCGCATTAACGCCACGCCAGTGAAATTCCTGCACTGCGACCGGCGTGGAAATTTTGGGTCCCCTTGCCGAGTTTCACTGGCGTGGAAATTTTGGGTCCCCTTGCCGAGTTTCACTGGCGTGGTAATTTTGGGTCCCCTTGCCGAGTTTCACTAGCGTGGTAATTTTGGGTCCCCTTGCCGAGTTTCACTAGCGTGGTAATTTTGGGTCCCCTTGCCGAGTTTCACTAGCGTGGTAATTTTGGGTCCCCTTGCCGAGTTTCACTAGCGTGGTAATTTTGGGTCCCCTTGCCGAGTTTCACTAGCGTGGTAATTTTGGGTCCCCTTGCCGAGTTTCACTAGCGTGGTAATTTTGGGTCCCCTTGCCGAGTTTCACTAGCGTGGTAATTTTGGGTCCCCTTGCCGAGTTTCACTAGCGTGGTAATTTTGGGTCCCCTTGCCGAGTTTCACTAGCGTGGTAATTTTGGGTCCCCTTGCCGAGTTTCACTAGCGTGGTAATTTTGGGTCCCCTTGCCGAGTTTCACTAGCGTGGTAATTTTGGGTCCCCTTGCCGAGTTTCACTAGCGTGGTAATTTTGGGTCCCCTTGCCGAGTTTCACTAGCGTGGTAATTTTGGGTCCCCTTGCCGAGTTTCACTAGCGTGGTAATTTTGGGTCCCCTTGCCGAGTTTCACTAGCGTGGTAATTTTGGGTCCCCTTGCCGAGTTTCACTAGCGTGGTAATTTTGGGTCCCCTTGCCGAGTTTCACTAGCGTGGTAATTTTGGGTCCCCTTGCCGAGTTTCACTAGCGTGGTAATTTTGGGTCCCCTTGCCGAGTTTCACTAGCGTGGTAATTTTGGGTCCCCTTGCCGAGTTTCACTAGCGTGGTAATTTTGGGTCCCCTTGCCGAGTTTCACTAGCGTGGTAATTTTGGGTCCCCTTGCCGAGTTTCACTAGCGTGGTAATTTTGGGTCCCCTTGCCGAGTTTCACTAGCGTGGTAATTTTGGGTCCCCTTGCCGAGTTTCACTAGCGTGGTAATTTTGGGTCCCCTTGCCGAGTTCAAGGTCAACCTGCGACGCTGGCTCTTAGTGTGCACTTGTAGGATGCGATCCCTCGTCGAACCCACACCCGACGACTCTCTGTCGAGCTACTTTCTATCTTTGTCCATTCTACACATTACATCTTATACTTATGTCCCTTCGTCCTCCTCCTCCAGCGCTGGTGGAGGATCAGGTCATCGAAGCATCAGCTGCCGAGAAGATCGACACCGGTCCATGAAATACCTCCACCGATTCTCCTTGACTTTGTGCTTCTAAACCCATTTCTATGTCCTTCGTGGCAAGATGCTCTTCGACTGTGTGACTCGTCGAAGCTTGGTTTCGTGCACCAGCCTGGCAGCCGACAGTGGACTTGACGAGAGTCAGCAGCCACTGCGCCTCTGGCTATAACCGCTACTAGAAATGTCACATTCCGCCCCAAAGGTTTTAAATAATCCCTTTTCTTGTGGGATCCTTTACCTTTTAGAATACTAGTCTTTTTAGTTTTCCTTGTGTATGACATACTGGAGAAATGGTCACTGCTTATCTTTCTACAGTCATACATGTACATATGTGTGTAGGTATATCTGCATTCACACACACACACAAAAAGCCTCTGTTTATTAGAGTACCAAACGATTCTTTGATATAGAGCAGACTAGAATCACTTAGAACAGATTTTCCAGATCATGAAACATTTATCGATGATACGTACATATCAATAAATGTTTCATGGTACAAAGTGCGAATTGATAGTAGGGGAAATCTGATCTGACATGTTTTATATTTGAATATGTTTGGTGCATTAATTTCATGGAATCTGAACTGGTACACGAAGTGTTTGTGATTTAGGTTACTGTCTACATGGCACATGGGTTACAGTCTATTTCATATATATATATATATATATATATATGTGTATAAACCCCTCTCAGATATATGTTTACACTCTCTCAAGAACACAAGATCCCATGCCTGACATGTTCTTTGGTCTATACATTCAAACCTCTGACTTTTACAAGACATCACAACATTATTGTGGTATTTGTTCACAGCCCTAGCTAATTAAAAAACATTAAATTCCCAATTTACCAATTGACCTAAAATGACTCCACATTTTCTTCCACAATGCATCCCTCCACATTATGTAACAGACTGTGGCTCAAATGATTGGTACCCTGATGTGGATTATTCTGACACCATTTTGATTAACCACATGAACATCATGCCAAAACGTCCAAGCAAATATGGCCTTGATGCCCATTGTGAAAACGTCAAATTTATTCCTTTTCAAGAAAAAACTATTAAAAAAAACAGGTTTCAATTATTATATGATCTGTGTCGATGACTTGGTGGAGTACTCACAGTCAGCTTTTCTAAGCATCATCTCAAACACTGGCACACTCCAAAAAATAAGATCATACATATTTATTTATTTATCCAGTATATAGATATAGATATACATATATATATATATATATAAACACACAAATATGTATATATATATATATATATATAAATTCTTACCCATTTCCATAGGTCAAATGGGCTGACATGGGACTACATTCATAGACATGTGGACACTAATTGTTATTGTGCAGACAGTTCAATAAATGAAAAAGGATATTCCAAGCAGCCTAAATATGGTAGTCCTTTGATGACAGGTGAATAGTTTTCTTCCTCATTAATGGAATGAGATTCTGTGGACCTCATGAAACGCAATCTCATTCTTATTCATGAATTTCCAAAAGTTTTTGAAGACACGGCATAAAGGTTTCACACCATCAAAAAAACTGCGAGGATATAATTAGTTTCAATTGTAGATACTGTGACTAAAATTACGGGGTTCCATTGAGTGTAATATTCACATACATACAAAACTACACATTATCTAAGTTTATCTTTGGAGACAAGCAACGAGAATCCGCAACTATGCTGTAAATATAAGTAATACACCCAAGCATAGATGTGTATCAATGTTCATTGTTGAAATTTCCAAGTTCCTATTCCAATCTTCTTCACTGTATCTATCTATGTACATGGGTCATCCTAAATTAATACTGTTATTATTATTATTATTATTATTCCTAATTTTATTTCAGTGCCAAAGAATTACTACCATGTATGGATACCTTTCTATATATATATATTTATATGTGTGTGTGTGTGTGTGTGTATTCATTCTCTCATTCTTCGTTTTATTTTTTTTCTTTCCTTTTGTTTTTTTTGTTTTTTCCACTTAAAACTTATCTGAAACTGTTTGGATTGGACAAGGTCTAAGCATGAACCACTATTTGGAGGTCAATTTCTCATTACTTTTTTATATTACACTATGGATGGCACCTCCTTCAAATGCTCATGTGCCCGCATGGCATTCTTGCTTATGTGGCACCACCTCCAAGGCCTTTGAGTCCATGTGGCATATAAATGATCCCCAAATGCCATGCCAAGTGCCATGTAGGCTCAAAAGAATGGGCTCATTTGGGATAGTATGCAAACTGGATTGGACATGAGTTTTAATGGTTGATAGAGCATTACGTGGTGTGCCTTATCAATACAATGAGCATTTCTATATTATATTGACCAAGGGTCAAAATCACACATAAAAAATAATAATAACAAACTATAAACATGTAATGTAATGACCCTAGGAACGGGAATAAGTAGCCTTTTTATGTGGATCCATGTCTATAAGAGAAATAGATTTGGCCATGATGCTTTGCCTTTCTAAAATAGAGGGATGGGGTCCCATGTTTTTTTGAGCAAAATGCTTTATAACACTAAAATATACAAACTTACATCAATTAAATATATTTATGGGAGTATAAAGGAAAAAAAAAGAAAAAAAAAAGGAGAAAAGGAACACATCCATGCAAAGGAAGTTGTCAAATTATTGCACAAACTTCTATGGACTTAGTTTCTATTTCTTTTTGACAATAAACTTATTCATTTGAATCAAACTTTGTTGATTTTTTAAAGCATTAATTCTTTAGTCAAAACTAATGTAATCAGAAGTTAATGGAAATTGTATGTGTGTTGTCCTAAGAGTTCTTTTTTTTGGCACAACTTTAGTGCAAGTCATTGCCCAAGTTTAAAGTTCTGCCCTCATCGATTTAGAAATCTACATTTTGGTTTAAATCTCATATTTTTCAAAGAATTAGGACTTTTCATAAAATTTTAATTGAATATAAACTAAATGTTCTTAAAGCTTAAGAAATTGTCTATTTTTATTAATCTGTATTTATTATTAATAAATATATGATTTTATTCTATCGTGTTCATGAACAAAGTTTTATTTATTTATTTATTTATTAATGGCATAGAAGATTATTGTATTAGTAATGCTCCGACCCT